CCTCTGTCTGCTGCAAACCAGTTCCTGCAAGAGTTCATTCGAAAGATTGATGGAACTTGGGGACTCAACAAGGGCTGAGTCACATATGTTATCACTGGCTGGAATGGCTGAGGGCATTTCCCCAAACCTGAAAAGGATGCATTAAATTGATTGCTGCCAGACAGCTCAGGGCATCTTAATCTATATGTTATTGCCTCCTACTGGCCAAACACCTCAACTGCTGAAGGCAATTCACCAATCTGGCAATGCTTCTGTACAAAACCCTATCCTTTGAAGTGTATATCTCCACCTTGCCTTAGGACAATTTGTGTTAATAAAAAGCAAGGGATCCTGAGACAAGGAAAACTTAGTTTTTTTAGCCAAGCTTCTCTGAACCCCCGATGCCTTTCAAAATTATCTTTCATCTCTGGAGTCTTTTTTAAGTTACAGCCTCTCTCCAGATTGCTGAACCCTTCTTAATGCTAGAACAAGAACCCTGGCATTCCTCCATCTACCTACTCAGCTCTCCTCTGAGCCAGACCACAGTGGGGCTGGAGAAAGGACCGATGCTGTTCGGCATTGGGCAAACAGTGAATCTGTTCAGAACTCAGTTTCCCCAGCTGTAAAATGGGGGCAGCCATCGGCTCTGCTGTCCCCCTGCCTTGTTGTGCCCCCAGGACTGTTGAAAAGCTGTGAAGGGAAAGAGCCTTAGAGGTGGAGTCACCACTTACCCACCACCCAGATCACCCCGGCCCTTCCTCTGAGCCCCTCCTGCCCTCACCTGCATTTTGGTGTTTGTTAAACACAGTCTCGTTACACAAAAAACGAGGTGAGTTATTCTGAAAAGTGCTTGGATGAATGTGAGTGGAGGGCATGAGCACTGTTTAAGCAACAGCTTTGGGCCCTGTGTCATCTCACGTGACCCCCACTACCCGCCAGGGTAGATGTCATCAGCCCATTTCCAGACGAGGAAACTGAGGGTCGCTTGCTTCTTCACGTATTGACTCAGTACCTGATGCTGAGCAGGTGCCATGTGCCAGGACAAAGGCCTTTTGATACTGTCTGCACCATTTTACTGAAAACCGAGTCCTGAAGGACTCAACGCCCACCTCCCACAGCAGACACAGGACCACACTCAGGTCCCCAGGCCCCGGGACTCTCTGTCTAGTGCTCCTTCTCCAAGTCTGAACGTCACAGGGATCGGACCTGTGATAGGAAAGCACTCCCAGCACCAGGGCAGGTCCCTTAGGAGCCAAGCTGGTGATGGGGGCAGGGAAGTGTGCAGGGGAGGGGGGTGGTTTACGGGTGAAACCGGTGGGCATTTTCAGACCGGCCAGCTTCATGTCAAAGGAGATTAAGGATGAGGGGAGCCCTGGGGACAAGAATAATGGGGCTTGGACTGAGTTAGACAGAGACAAGCCAGACAGGGCGGGGAGGACAACTTATGGGCACATTTGCATACTAGAAGAGTAATTACAAACCTTTGTGATAAATCTCCACAGCTACAAGGAGAGGAGGCATGAATCAAGAATGCTGAGATGACATCTATTAGGTCCCCATTGTTCCTGACGCTGTTGTGGGGCTTTTCATTGTCTCCGCTTTGGGGCCGTTAATTAAGAGACAAGCCCTGTGGTCGGCGCTGGGCAGGTTTGTGCGAAGGGCTTGGAGGAGGGGGGGTGGGAGAGGGGTGATGCGGATCCGAGGGCATCATTATGAGCGTCATGATCATTATGACGAGACTTTCCTCTCCGGCAGGGGTGGACGGCGTTGTCGTGGAAACCGCGTGCTTAGAAGTAACAGGCTTTTTTAAGGTTGCCGGGACGTTGGCACCCCTTAACCAATGCCTGCTTGACGATCGCCGCACAGTGGCCTTGGAGACACGGACAAAGAATCGGTACTCCGCAAGGCCTGTGATGGTTTTTATTTCATTTTTCCCTCTGGCTTGCTCTCCATCTCCACAAACGGCTCGTAAAAAAAAAATAAATAATAATAATCTCCCTTCTGGGGTGCTGCCGATGTTCGATATTGTGACTGGGTTGTGGCCACGGGGGCAAAAACGTATGTAAGAACCCATTGAGCCATGTGCTTACGATTAAGTGTATTTGATAGCGCATACATTATAGTCAATAAAAAAATGTTTAATTTCAGCCTTTTCTTATCACCTGGAGATTTTTTTTGTCCTTTCAATCGCACTCAGGTGACATTTGAAGGGGGGCAGCAGCTTGTGCCATACACCTCTTGAATGCCAGTGGATCACAGACCTGGTATCGCCGGGTCCTCAGCGCTGTCTGGAGAACTCAGTGTTTTCTCCCCATTAGACAGATTAGAAGTTGAGGCTCCATGAGTACAGTGGCTTGCCCAGAGTCCCCAATGAAGGGGTCTCTAGCCATGCTCTGTCCACCTTAGATGGGTATACCTCCTTGACCAAGTGAAATGCATCCAGAAGATGAATTCTAGAATAGTAGCTTTCTGGAATCCATCCCATATAGGGAAATTAAATATAAAAGACAAAAGGAGTGTTTCTTGTTTTTGTTTTTTTTTTTTTTTTTTAAAAAAAAAAAAAAAAAAGGTCACAAATGAGTAGTGAGAGTGATGTGTCTCATCCCAAACATGCTGTTTGTCCTGCTCATTACTTAAAAAAATTACTTGCTGCCAAAACCGGTTTGGCCCAGTGGATAGAGCATCAACATGCGGACTGAAAAGTCCCAGGTTCAATTCCTGTCAAGGGCATGTACCTTGGTTCCTGGCACATCCCCAGTAGGGGTTGTGCAAGAGGCAGCTGATCAATGTTTCTAGCTTTCTATCCCTCTCTCTTCCTCTCTGTAAAAACTCAATAAAATATTTTTTAAAAATTACTTGCCTATATTGGAAAAAAAAAAAAAAAAAAAAAAGCAAAGCCAGATTTCTGCAGTCTCTCAGAAATCAGAGCTGGCTACTCTGGGCCCATATTCCCATGCATACACTCTCCAGCTTGCCCTGCTCTCCACCCAGCCACCTTCACTCACTAGCGGGTGGCCGCTATGGTTGGATGGTTTGGCATTCATTCACTCTCCTGCGGGGAACCATGCTCCAGTCTTCCTCTTGAGAACCATCCCCTTTTCTACTCCTAGTGCAGCTTCTTTGAGGTGGGTTGAATCCATCCCTGGTTCTAATAACCCATGCAGTTCAGTACTGACAGATCCTGGCATCATGCTAAATCTAGCCACAACGATTGGCATTAGCTCAGAATTGGAAATATGACCCCATCAGGGCCAATGAAGATGCAGAGAGGCCAACTGACTCACCTAAGGTCACACAGATCTCAGACTTAGTGCTATGGCACTCTCACATTTGTGCTCTTTCTATTAACTTACATTTAGTTTTCTAACATAAAAATGTGTGTGTGTGTGTGTGTGTGTGTGTGTGTGTGTATTTTTCATTTCCCAGCACTCTTTTCTGCAAATGGTATTTTCACTCCAGGGACTTGAAGCAAACATACGCACAGTCCCCAAGTCATCAGCAATTTAATTTATTTATTGTACTTAAGGAGTGGGAAATAACGCAGGCCCACTAAGGATCAAGCAAACTCCAAGTAAATTGCATAAATGGGGTTTTTAAAAAGCACACAAAACAACCCTAAGACAATCAATACATGTCAGAACATGGTGAGAGAGTTGGGGGTTGTGCAGGAAGCGGTGTGCTCAGTAGGATCTTAGACTCATTAACCAAACTCAAGTCCATTCCCTCTTCTATCCAGCCCAGTCTCCTGGACCCACAAACCAAACCGTAGTGCCTGGGGACGAGTGAGCAGGAGAGACAGACAGAGAAAAAGAAAACACTCTGGTTGAAGTCGAGGCATCCCTGCCTCTGGTTCTGGGCGGTGTGAACCAAGGGAACTCGTTTGGCATTAAGCACTTAATCATCTCCTTCCTCGCTCTGGCTTCCCTTTGACACTAAGAGGAAAGCACCATCCTGGGAGTGGCGGGGGGCCTCCTTGCTCCCTCACTGCTACTCCTGGACCCCCCTGCTCAGTGCCCGCTGCATATGTCTGGCCAGATGGCCTGGACACTTGGAAGCAGCCTCAGCTGCTCAAGAACATGGCTGTGCTTAACCTCATCAACTCGACTCAGCGTCAGCTCCTCCGGGGTGGGAGTGTGATGCCCGTCAGTTTAATTAGTTTAATGAGGGCTGAGGGAGCTGGTCCACATTCTGAGTTGGTTGCACAGAACAAATGGGTTTGCCTGGCTCCCTCCTGGACCATCATTTCAGCATTCAGAGGGAGAACTGCTCTCTGCCACCATCTCGGGAAGGGGATGTCCCTCCCTTCTCCTGGGAGAAGTGGGGCGCTATCCAGGGTACCAACATGGACTAATGTCCCCGAGCTCAGTTCTTCCAGATGTGTGTTTCTCAGCAAGGAGAACTCAGAGTCCCACCACACTGGCTGGACCTTTAACCCGCTAGAACCTGAGCCCTCTAGTGTAGGAATTCCGGCTCCCATAAAAGGCAGGTTCTGAGCATTTTACCTAAAACACAGTCTTCAAAGTGGGGTGCACGGGAGGTCCCATGAGGTTTGGGAATAAAACAGGAGGATACCCATTTGTTTGTTTCCATCTTTGCTGTGCTTTACGATAAATGAGAACATCTGCATGGGGAGGGGGCGCTCCTGATTCTTCTGACAGGGCATGTGGCCAGCAACATTTGGAGACAGCAGATCTAGAGGCATGAAGGCGCCAGCCTGAGATTCTGGACCCAGGGAGTCCCATGAATGGGGTGGAGGAGGGGCGGACAGGAACCGTGGTGGTTTTAGCAGTCTGGGGTTGAGCCAAGCACAAGCCTCCTGAAGAGGGGAGCCGCCCTCCTTCCCTGGCTGGCCCAGACAGACACCGCGCTCCAGGCAGGAGAGAGGCAGGCTGGGTGAAATGCTTTGTGGACAATGCTGCACCGAGGGTGGGGACTGGGGGGGGGGGGGGGCGGGAGGAGGAAGAAGGAGTGCACTCCTCTCTGGGGGAAGCTCCCGACTCACCTCCACGGTGGGGAGGTGTTTAAGCATCAGAGAGCTCTCCGGGGTAGGCGCCGGGGGCCTCCTCGGACCGGGTCACCACCTTGAACTGGCGCCGGAGAAACCCCCCGTAGCGCTTCTGGTTGTCCCACTTGAGCTTGGGGCGGATGCGCCGCAGGAAGCCGCCGTAGCGCTTGTATAGGTCCTCGTGGCCCACCCCATCCCCCTCCCCGGCCCCCTTGGAGCTCCGCTTGGGGTATTTGCGCAAGAAGCCCCCGTAGCGTTTGACCTGCTCCCTGGGGTCCTCCTCGCCGGCATCCAGGGCTCCAGCTTCCAGGGTGTCACCATTCAGCTGAGCGTCCCCCATCAGCTCCGGCTCCGGTTCCTCCTCCATCCTGCCGGGGAGACCCCCGAGCCTCTCGGCCAGGCTCCTGCTCAGAGCATCCTCCTGTGCCGGAGAGCCCAGGGCGAACCCGCTTTCCTCCAGCTCTTTCAGGAAGGGCCCCCCGCGCTTGGCCAGCTCACTGTACGCCTCCTCCAACGCTGCCTTGCTCTCGGAGTCTTCCTCACTGTTGAGCCCCGGGGGCAAGGCGGTGAGAAGGGACAGGATGGCCTGGCACCTCTCCCACTCCTCAGTGGGTAGGAGGACAGCCTGGCATTCCAGGGAGCAAATCTGGAAAAGACCCCAAAAGACCACCGTAGTCATGTCACCCCCACCAAACGGTCAAAGCGTGTGTAGTACCCCCCTACCCAATGTCTGAGAAATCAACCTAAGCTGTGATCGCTAGGCCCAGGCTGCCCACTTTGATGCTTCCAGCGGTGCATAAAGGTAAGTGACTCTGTGCCTATGTAGGAGATGAGGAAACAGATGTGGACAAACGGAACAGCCTTCCCAAGGGCACGTGGCTCCAGGGGGCAATGCCAACACCAGAAGTAAGATCTTCCCAAAGTGCCCTGCTGAGCTCACCTGTCTCTTCCACTTCTGATTCCAGAGAGAGCAGTGGGTCCTCCCACTGTTTCCTAGGTGTGCGGGAGCTGCAGGCACTTTATAGAGCAGGACAAGAGCCATGCAGAATGGCGAAAAGAACACACGAGGGGACGCTTGAGGATTCATCAAATCTGGGGGACAACAGTATCTACTTCATAGGAGTGTTGGGAGAATTCAAACATGATGATGAGGAGGAGGAGGACAATGACGACAACATGATGATGACAATACTGGACAACTCTGGAACTGGGACCCAGGCAGTCTGATGTTACAAGTCCTCATGCTTAACCTGCTGGGATCATATAAGGGCAGCACCTGGCAAGCTGTGCTCATGTCCATAAAGAATGGCTAGAATTGTAGATTTAAAACTTTGCATCATCATCATGTAATGGAATCACTCCCCTTTTGCAGATGAGGAAGCTAAGGTTCAGAGAGAAGGTTCCAAGGTCATGGAACTAGGAAGTAGCAGAACCAAACCTGCATTTTGTCCACCACACCCTCGGTACCTCTACTCCAGACTTCTGTCACCGGAGCAGAACGTGGGGAAGCTTGACTCAATGCAAAGCCGGTCAGGTTGGGTCAAGGGATTTGCTAAGACCCAAGAGCGGGGTAAGACTTGGATCCCATTGACCAGATCCTGGTATTTAGGGGAGGCGGAAAGAGCTCCTTCCACGGGAGCGACTAGAATTGGAGGCGCCCCTCAGCATACCTCATGAACCACACTCCTGGTTGCCAGGCATCAGGCTCCCTGGAAACCTGAGTCAGCCTCAGACCTGAGTCAGCCCGTACTGCTAAGGTCAAGAAAGGGAATGGGAGCTAGCAAGCAGCAGTCCCAGGCTCCCAGCTGACCAAAGAGCAGGGCACGCCCTGCACAGATGGGACGAGTCTACAGGACAGGCGCACCGCTGCCCAGGCCTGCCTTCTTCCCTCTCTGGGTTCTGTACACTGATGGGACCTTCCACGGCCTGGCACCCAGGAGCCTAGCCTGAAACCTACCAGGGGGTCGATGGGTTTGGGCCCATCCTGGGTCTTCACAGCACACAGTGAGCAGCGGGACAGGCAGTCTGCTGAGGCTGAGGGGAGCACGAGGAGGCAAGCAGCCAGCACCAGCCCCTTCCACTCCATCCTGTCTTGGTTCTTCCTCCTGGGAGGGGAGAAAGAGCAGACGATGAGATCTGTGATCGCCAACCCTGCGGGGTGTATCCTGAGCCTCCAGTTAACTCGCCAATTCGTGCTGGCAGGCTACAAGGCAGGCATTCTCGTTCCCCCTCTACAGAAGGCAAGACAGAGGCCCAGAGAGGCACAGTGGGAGCCCCAGGCCAAAGGTCAAGGGAGGTGATAAACGTGCAGTGAGTGCCTCTGCTATGTGCCAGGAGCTTTCCTACACAGCTCGCATTTAATCAATCGGCACAGCCGCTCTGAAGGTGGTTAGGCTGTGCTGTTGGACAGATGGGGACGTTGAGGCACGGGGAGTGTGTGTGTGTGGTGGTGGGGGGGATGATTGCCCACACCACTGGGCAGTGCATAAGCAAGGACCTGACCCAAGTTAGTCATCCTTCAAACCCCACTTTGATTACATCCCAAGACAGAAGACACTGGGCCATCTGCTTCCCTGGGTTCCTGAGGCTTCCCTCACCTGCCTGTCCTCCACTACTCAAGCTGCCCCCAGGCCAGGCCTTTCTGCTGGGTAAGGTCTCTGGAATTTGCCTTCTCCACCCCAGCACTTCTACTCACCCTGGCCACCTTCACCTTCCCCTCCCCGCTGGCCTCCCTGCCTCCGGTTCCTTCTCTGATCCCTCCTGCTCACCGTGCTCAGCCATATCCATTCTTGATCAGACCTCCTGGGGTAGGGCCACGCGTGGCCCTTCTCCTAATGTCAGGGACAGTCTCAATCCCACTCCTACACCCCCACTTCAGCTCTGGGTTCCAGCCACATCCAGCTACTGAGTTACCATATGACTCTATCAGGCCCTGTCCCACCTCTGGGCCTTTGCACATCCTGTTCCTTCTGCCTGGAAATAGTCTGTTAAAAGTTGTTTCTTTCATAAACCAAATATCAAGACCCAAAGCTATTCAAATGGGGGCACAAGGCAGTTCCCCCAACTGGCAATGGGAAGTTCCCCCAAGATACCCACCCGGGGCAGGGCTCCATAGCCCTCCCTGCCTGGTCCTTGTAGCCCAAATCTTCTAATGCCACTGCCAGGGATGGCTGTCCTCCTTCCCTCTTCCAAGGGCCCCAATCCTGCACACTGCCCCATTTGCTCATGTGTTTAGGGATTGGAAAGATTCCACTGCGTGCCTCAGAGCCGCAGGCTGCAGCACAGAGCAGCTCTCCCTCCTCAGAACCCACAGTCGGTTCCCCCATCAAAGCCAGCCTGAGAGTGGTCCCAGCCAACATTTATGAAGCCCCTACTGTGCTTCAGGCCTTGAGCGACACCCCTAAATGCCTCGTCTCATCTATCCCTCCGAGTGAGTGGGCACTTCCAGTGCGATGAATTGCCCATCCCTCCCGTGAATGGAAGCTGGGATGCACAGTCATCCTGTTTGACTCACCACCGGTGTGCCCTTAATGATCCCAGTTAATGAGAACAGCTGACTCATTAACAGCCGAACCCTCCCTGAGGCCCAGAGGGCCCCACGCACAGGTCTTGGACTTGTATGCTGTTCTCAATCCACTCGCCAACTCTGAGTGGTGGGCATCGCTATCCCCACTTTATAAACCAGAAGCCTGGAGCTCAGAGAGGCGTGGTGAGCCCCCTGAGGTTGCAGAGCAACTAAAGGTGAGGACACAGGTCCCTCTGCCTCTCTGGCTGCACAAGAGGCTGCCCTGGGGCAGGAGGCTCAGAGAAGAGAACGGAGGGAAGTGACCTGTGTCCCTCCCACGTTCGTCCTCGCCTGCCCTCCAGTTTCTCTCACACTCACTCTACCAGCTGCTGACAGGACTTGGGTTCCAGGTGGGTGAGTGGTGCCTCTTCTATGCAGACACAGCAGGCAGCTCATGTTTTCTTTGATTCCAGAGACGGCGGGGCTGGGCTGGGCTGTTACAAGCTGAGCAGTAAATTAATCAGCTGGGGAAGGAAGCCTACCCGGCCCTCTGCCTCCTGGCCGGAGGCTCCCCACACAGCGAGGTGGCTGCAGTAGGAGGTCTGATTTGAACTCTCCTTGTCCCGAGCAAGACCAGTGTCAGCATCCCTGTCTTTCATCCGTTAGCTTTAGAGTTGACAGCAATCATTCTAGCTGGTCTAATGGTTGTTGAGCACTTTGGAAGCTCTGAGCAATTCTGAGGATGAGCTCGTTTATGCTCACAGCAACCGCATGCTGTGAGCACTGCTGTCCTGCTGCTTTACAGAGGAGGAAACTGAGTTAAGACGCCTGCTGAGAGTCAAACGCTCGTAGGTGGCCAACTTGGGATGTGTACCCAGGCGGTCTGGCTCCTGGAGCTCACCTTGGTAACCACGGTTACTGCCCAGCCCCTTCATTCCACCCCTCCCAACCTCCTGCTTCTCCCTCCTGGCCCCAGAGCAGCCTCACATTGCCTCTAAGGGCTTTCCTGCTGAGAAGGGCTGACATTGATCAGGGCACAACCGAGTCCCCTACGCATCTTAATGTGAGAGGTCTTTATAACAACCCAGTCGGCTGGGACTAATATTCTCCCCATTCTACATCGATCGATTTCCATGAGCCTGACCGGGAATGGAACCCTCAATCTGGGCATGTGCTCTGAAGGGAAATCAAAACCAGGATCCTTTTGTGCACAGGTCGACCCTCCAACCAACTGAGCCACTCAGACCGGAGCGAGCCCTTTCACCCCGAGGGCTCAGCGTTCCTTGGAAGGGAAAACACTGCTTGCCCTATTACCTCCTCTTGATGATATTTCTATATTGTATTCAGAGGGCTTGGAGGAACAGCGAGCTTTTTTGTTTAAAAAGCCAGCGTGGCATAATAATGGCTTGATTTAACATCGCAATTATCTCCCCAAGCACTTTATCGCATATGATTATCCCTATTTGATAGGAGAGGAAATGGGAAAAGGTAGAAATGAAATCACTTGTTTAAGGTCACGTCACGAATCAGTGGGGAAATGGAGCCGGAGCTGGGGCCTCCCACACCGGGCGTGACTCGCAGGGAGGGGATGGCGCCCTCTCACTGACCCTCTGCAGCAGGCAGCACAGCAGCCTGTGAGCCCTGCGCCACTGCTGCTCGGTGCGCCCGCCTCCCCCTCCCGGGCCCGCCTGCCACAGGGGCGATGATTACAGTCTCAGGTGCCAGGAGGAAGCGTGAGAACCAAGTGCCAAAGTGCCTCCAAGGTCCCGAGCACCATGGGCAGGGCAGAGCTGAACGTCACTGGTAAAGGCACAGTCATGGGGCCAGGGTCTTTGCTGTCTGTTTTGGTTCAATGATTGCATGTTAACCCTCGGGAGAAGCCATTAGCCTGGGCACAGTGAGTCCCATTCTCTAGATGGGGAAACAGAGACTCAGAAAAGTGAAATGGCTGGGTCAAGGCCAACAGGCAAGGCAGAGCAGAAACTGCCTGACAGTCAGTCTATGACTCTGCTCCCCACACCATCCCTGGGGTGTAGGTATGCACTGAATGTCCATCAAACCCCTTTACCCTCCTCCCCTTCCCAACACCACCAAACTATCATATTCCTGAAGGTGAGGCTATTTCAGGAGTTTTATTTCACTCAGAGATATATAAAGTTCACCCTGGCAAGCATGCTCAGTGGTTAGAGCATTGGCCTGTGCTCTGAAAGGTCATGGGTTTGATTCCCAGTCAAGGGCACACACTTGGGTTACAGGTTCGAACCTGGGCACACGTAGGAGGCAACCGATTCTATCTCTCCCCCTCCTTCTCTTTCACTCTCTAAAAAAAAAATAAAATAAAATAAAAAAAAAAAATAAAAAAATAAATCAATCTTTTCTCTTAAAAAAGAAAAGAAAATACATTAAGTTCATCTTTGTGGGTCTCTAGTGGGCTGGCAAAGGGACACCCCAAAACTAGAGACAGTACTTTTGTTAGGCCTTCAGCGTCATTAACAAAGAATGGATGATCATCTAATGGGGGATGGGGAGCTCGGATCTGAATGGGAAGTGACCCCATTACTTAGTTCTGCAGGAATTAAAACACAGAGCATAGGAAGAGGGCCTACACTGAAGGGCTACTGGTCCAGGAACCAGAGCAAAAGAGCCTTGCCTGTGATGGTCACTGCGGGACTGTTAACCGCACTTCTACAAGAACGTATTTCAAAAGGACTCACATGGAATCCCATCCTTTGATTGCACAGAGAGAAATGACACCTAGAGAACCAGAGTGAGATGGGACAGGCTGACAGATCTCAGGGGAGGGCGGGTGGGGAGCCGGGACGAGGTTAACCAAATAACTTACATGCGTAAGTTATTAATTATCCCAGGACACAGACAACAGAGTGGTGAAGACCTGAGTCGGGCAGGGCCTGGGATGGGGATGTCTGTACTACTGTCAACAGTAATAAAGAAAATAAAAATGTGAGGTGATAAACAACGTGGGAAAAGGCAGTAGATATGAGAAACAGAGATGGAGAGTGAATGGGAATGAGACGAAGAAGGTACAGGAGAAGGAAGGGGGGAAAGGCAAAAAGAGGAGGGAAGGGAACAAAATGAGAGAGAAGAGGAAGGAAAGGAAGAGGACCTTGACTCAGGAGGCTGACCTACTATGTGAATCACAAACATCAGTTTTCTCCTCTGCCGGTGCGCTGAAGACCCAACTGCATAACATCTGTTCCATAAACCCTTGTCAGGTTAAACGGACCTGTCCAGGAATAGGTCAAGGAGCCAAGTGATGGCGGACAAATTGCCCCTGGCAAATAAGCCTGCAGCCTGCAGCCAACCTCGCTGGCCAGCAGGAGGGCTGGATGGGCTCAGAGAGAAGCCCCCACGCCAAGAGATGTGTCTCCTGGGCCATTTTCCCCTCCTCCTGCCAAGAGCATCATCTGCACCCAGAGTGGGAGGAGTTAATGGGGTCCACCTGAGAGGACGCAGGGACCCCTCTCCATCCCCGGGCCTGACTCTGGCTAACCTGGGTGTCTCCAGTGAGGTTTACTGCCCACCACGATGGCCAGCTCTGTCTTCGAGAAATCGTTTCAGAC